CTAGGACTTTCAGCCTTACACGAAACAGGGCCTACCAAACCATGTCTCAGACTAGGTATCATCAATATAGGTGGTCTCCCGACTAGCGGAGTATACTTAATGCTTGGACTATTAGGATTTCCTAACCTTACATAAAGTAAGGCCATGACCCCCTACCCTCGTCTAGGATATACTCGTGGATATTCTCCTAGGTCCTTCCTGATGGAGAAAACTCTACACTCAAGACCTTCAAGACTTCCTAGCTTTACGTAGAGTAAGACTGCGACCCCCTATCCTAGTCCAAAGTACACTCATGGATGCAAATGCACATGCCTTTTCACATACATTACAAACATCACTCACACACCAGCATATATATTTCTTTCGCAATGCTGCTACTCTATCTATTCATAAAACACAATGCATAAAATTTATATAAAATACTTGTAAATCCTTTTATAAACTAATAGATAAAAAGGTTATTCTAATTACCTTTTTACCCTTACTATCAAAGGTTAACGTTCATGCTGAACTTTTCAAGTCAGTTCAACTCCTACAAGAAATTCTCAAATGCTCAACTTACATAATGAACACCCCTTACTTAGTTTTCCAATATTCACACAAGGCATTGATTTGGCCAAGTCAAATCCCTCAACACATGAAATAGTTCAAGTAACCCAATTTGAGTTCACACAACTCACTCTTTATAGTCATTTTTCCCTTAGACTACCCAAATGACCAAGACATTCATCTTTCTCATTTGTTTATCAATTTTACCCCTTTTAAACTTATTTTTTAGATTTTGACTTCTTAAAACTTCTTGATTCAATTTATATACCAACCAAACTTAGAGAAATTAGGGTAGAAACGTAGTATAGGGTAGTACAAAACTTACCTAGCAAGTCACCAGTTGGAGCATACTTCCAAGCTCTTGATACCCTAGTAAAGACAAGCTCCTCTCTCCCTCTCACGCATGATTTTCCTTCCTTTCTCTTCTATTTTCACAAGCTGAGCATGTAACCTTTATCAAAATTTTGTGCCATGCACTATAGCACATACAAAATATGATGTGGCCTGTGCAACAATAGGACAAATCTTACTAGTACTCATGCGTTACGTTACAAATTGCAGTTCTACCATTCAATTCTCTTAACATACTAGTCAAACAACACAAAACATCAATCATCATCTAAAACTATAATTAATCTAGTAATTACTAATTTACTCTTAATTAGAAACTAGTTTTCTTGAATTGAAATTCAGGATGTTACATATCTGGGGAATACTTCCAACCTAAGCTCCTAGTCTACCTTAATTTCTTTTAGTTTAGGTTATAGAGAAATTGAATTAGGGAGTTTTAAGGGATTTATTTCTTACCCTTTGATAATAGAAAGACTCTTGGAAACAAACAAAAGTTTTGTGATTGGTTTGGGAGCTAACGGTTAAGCTTTTAAGTAATAAGCTTAATTATTGACCTAAACACTATAAGAAACAGTCTTTTTCTTAAGGAAATTGAAACATGAGAATTTCTTGTGAACTTTCTCACAAAAAATCAATTTATGCATGCTTTCTCGCACCTTTTTCTCATGACTATGATATAAAAGAAATATTTGTGATAATTGCATGAGAAAACTTGCAAGGACTATAGTGCGTTATGGCGCCAATTTTCTCACAGTTGGCAGTCGTGAGAAAACAAAAGAAATGTTGTCAAAATATAATAAAAACAACTTCTCACCAACAATATATGTAAAAGAAATTCTCATAGAATTTGTGTCTATGAGAAACATTTCTAAATGATAGAGTTCCTTTACTTTTTATCCATGAGAAATTCTCACGGAGTTGGTGCCCATAAGTAATTCTCATAGATTGTACATCGTGAGAAATTCGCTTCAAATAGTTTTTGCGGGAAAGTCTTTTGAGCAAACATTTCTCATGACTCATATACTATGAAAACCTCTCTTCAAATTTTTTCCGTGAGAAAGTCTTAATCCTTTCAAGTATTTCTCACAAAATTTATGTCAAGAGAATTTCTCTCAATTTAGTATGTGTGAGAAATTATTATTTAAAATGTTTCTCACAGTTTATTAGTTGTGAGAAATTGTCCTTGACGATTATTGTGAGAAATTTATTTAAATGTATATTTCTTTTCAATAATTTTGTTAAATAATATTAATTAACTAAAAATTATTTTAGTATATACTTTTCTATTTTATATGAAGTTGATTATTAAGCATAGAAATAGTTTATTTTTACTACAAATAAAATTAATAACAAATATGATAAAATAAAGCAGATGCAAAGTTTTCTCACAGTTTATATGTCATGAGAACCTCTCTCAATTTTCCATTGTGAGAAAGTGTTATTATGAACAATTTTGCACAGTTTATTAGATGTGAGAAAGTCTTATTGATAAGGAGTGTGAGGAAGTTATTTAAGTTTATATTAATTTTATTAGATGATATTAATTAACCAAAAAAAATTAGTTATATGGAAAAATTAATTAAGTGTATATTTTTTATTTTATATGAAGTTGATTATTAATTAATTAAAAATAATTTATATATTATTGATTTTCTATTAATGCTCAAACTAGAGGTGAAAATATGGGCCAATACATTATATGAAGTTGATTATTAATTAATTAAAAATAATTTATATAGTATTTATTTTCTATTAGTGCTCAAACTAAATGTGAAAATATGGGCCAACACATCTCACATGGGTTAGGGGAGGGAACTGAGTTGGGTTGGGCACAACCCATTTTAATATAGACAAAAAATTCCAACCCAACCCAACCCAACCCAAACCATAAGGGTTTATCTATCAGTATTTTTATATCAAATGATTGTACATGAGTATTCATAAACATTTTTTTTTTGTGAGAGCATATTTCCTATCTTGTTAAATTTGCTTGATGTTTGTTAACGTTGATCATTAAGAAAAAGAAATAAAATATAAAGTGCAAAAATACTTAGGAATTTTTTATCTAAGAGTTTCTGGTATCTTAAGTCAACAATGGTATATAGATATTACTTATTAACTTTATAATAGAGGCTATATAGCCAAGTTTGACCCTAGCATCTCAAGCTATTGGGCTAAACCAAATAACCAAATTGTTAAATATTGTTTTATTTCTTCTTTTCTAGTCAATTTTAATTTTTATCTAACTTTGATTTTATTTTATTATTATTAATAATAAAAGAATTCAAGTGCTTAGGCCAAGCCTATATGGATTCAAGTTTGATTCCAATCCATGCACCATTATTGAATTAATTAAGGATACAAATAGCTCTTAGTGAAAAAGCTTTGGGGTATTCTACACCAACCCAAAAAAAGGAGCTTTTGTAGATATAACCTAAGTTATAAGATCAAACCAAGTAAATAGCTCAAAATTTATTTTATTTTAAATTATGACCGATTTATTTTGTTTGTCAACAATATATCATTGTATATCAATGATAAACCCTATATAATTTTTCAAATTTTTAATAATAAACCACATTAATATAAATAATAAACCCGTTGTATATCAATGTGAACTGGCCACACTCTCAAAATTTTAAAAATTTGGTCCACATTTTTTGGACACAATATTTTTTTTGCCAGTGGGCCAATTTATCCAAAAAAGATTAAGCATATATTTTTTTCTTTTTAGCAAGTTGATTATTAAATAATTAAAAAATATTTAAATTATATTTGTTCGATGTTCAATTTTGTCGCACCTAAAAATGCGACGCGGACGGTGCGCGAGAGTGAAGGTTTTGGCCTTCAAAGTGAAACCCAACGGAATGGGAGTTGCCACCAAAATTTTGAGAAAAATCTTGGGAAATCATTTAGGAGGTAAGGATGGTCTGCGAAATTTAAAAATAAGTTCAAGAGTCGATTCAATATGGGGAAGATATTAGATACCCTACAACACTTGTTTGTAAGAACGATTACCTGAAGTTTGTTGTGCTAAATTAATATAGTTTTAAAGTTATTTTAATTATCCCTTTCTTATTCATGTGTTTGTTAAAAAGATGATAATAATTAAGTAAAAAATATTTATTTATTTACAAGGGAAGACTTGATTCAGAATCAAACTCTGAGGCCTATGCACCTTGCGATGAGGATCAAAGTCCACATAGTTTGAGATTATAAATTTGTTGGTGAAAGTATTTTTTTGAAGAGAAATTAATTAGAAATAATTCACTATTTTGCAAATAAAATAATTTTCTAAAATTTTGATATGTGTGTTTTTAAATTACAAAAAGTGATTTACTTTCAGTTATTTTCTCTATTTTTAAATTTTTGAAATAAGAAATAGGTAAAGGGTTTAAATTATTTTTTTCATATTCTATGATTAAAAATTTAACTGTTATACCTTTAAAGCCTTATTGGCTCATAAGGTAATACAATTATTTTATATATCTGTGGAGATTCCAAACTCTCACATGATAAAAGAATTAAATTTATTTAAATATTTTTTTATTAATTTATTAGATTTATTATTTATATGAAATCCTAATCTTAAACCTATGGAGCTTTATTAACTCATGTGGTAATACAATTATTTTTGAGATCTACGAAGATTCAAAAATCTCACATGACTTAAATATTTTATTGATTTATTAAAAAAATTAATTTTAATGATGGGCCTTTGAAACCCATATTATTATATACAAAATTAATCCTCATACTTGCAAAATCTTATTGATTTTCATGATATAGGATCATTTTAAATACCTATGGAGATTCTTAAAATCTCACACAACAAATAGATAATCAAGATATTTGCATTTGTAATCATTGCATAATATGAATTTAGCATTCAAAGGAACAGATAAAGAAACTATTTTGACACTTCACTTCTCTTTTGACTTGAGAATGTATTCCTCAAGATTTTTTAAATTGATTTAATGCTCAGATGTGACTTTCGAAAGGAAATAATGAGAGTAGTGGTAATAGCATCCAACAATTAAAAATAAACAAGATTCACATATCATCACTACCATCAATACCCAATTTATGTCCTGTAGAAATCAAAATCAAGTTAATGTCTTAACCTTACAAAAAAATCAGATTCTGTTCATATGCTCTTTTATGCTAAAAATAAATTTTAGATCTAATTTAACCTTAGTCTAACAAGCATAAGAATTCCTTCACTTTGCTTGAGACAAAACCATGATGGGAATATGCATCAAAATCAGATCAAGGTAAATCGGATAGCAGACAAGAATTTTATTTAGAGTTTGCATTTTAACAATGATCATCATACTTTCTTTAAGGTAATGGGATTAATAATTTACTTGGAATTTTATCTCTGCTCTTATTGCCTTGTGTGTATTCCTTATATCTTGCTTCTCTCCTCCTTCCTTGCTCATAGTCACAGAATACTGCTTCTCCTGCCCAGTTCTCCTCCTTCCTCATATTGAAAATTCCTCATCCTCTCCCTCTGCTAAAAGCTTCAACTCCTCCTTCTCATTATTGCATTGACTATGGTTTTGTCTCTCTCCATCACTGCTCCAAGAGGATGAGCCACTTAACACTTTTCCTGTCACCAGTCACAACAAGTAGGGAATATTTTTTCAACGCAGTAATTGCTTAATGATCTTTAGCTTGAGATCATCCACAGAGGTAATAGTCTCAGCTATGTGATCTCGATCGTGTTCTTGGTCATGCTCTTGCTCTTGATCTTGTTCTTCGTCTGACAACGGAGAATGAATTTTAGGCGACGACTTCACAACTTCAAGTGAAAACTAAATGAAAAGAAACGGTGGTGACGTCAATGGTGTTCTCTCTCCCGATGATATGAAGCGGCTTCCTCTTCACTTGATGGATGCTATTGCTCTCTCTCTCTCTCTCTCTCTCTCTCATTTGTTCATCTCCTTCATCCTTGTCACTGCTCTCTTACTCTCTGTCTCTCTCTTTAACTCTCGCTTTGTTTTTCATCCTCTCTTGCTCCAACTTCTTCTCCATTTCTCTCTCTTTCCAACCTCCTAAAATCTCTATTGTTGCCCTTCTACTGTTGGTCTCTTCTCCTCTTTTCTCCCCAGCACAAGAAAAGCCCTCAGTTTATCGTTGAAGCTAGGGATTTTTACTGTCGTGCACCTCTCCCTCTTTTGCTCTTCTCCCTTTTTCTGCATGTGGTTTGCTGTGTTCACTCCCTTTCTCTATCTTTTTTTCACTTTTCTTTCCTCCCTCTAATTTTGTGTCTAGCATTTGTTTTCTGCTCCACTTCTCTCTACCTTCGTCCATGTGTTTTTATTCAACTCTTCTCACTTTTGCTCTGAGTTTTCGTTTATTTTGAGTGCTGTGTATGTGCTGCCTTTCTACTCTGTTTTTCTTTTCTTCTGTGTTTTGCTTTGCATGTGGTTGAACGTTCAGGTCTGCTGTCTGCTCTACTCTTGGTTTCTTTTCTATGTGCCTTTTATGGAAGTTTGTGTCTTCTGCGTCGAGGAAAATGCCTTTTACAGCTGCTCTCCATATCTCTCTCTTGTGTGTTTCGTGTGCATGCTCTACTCTCCCTCCAAAAGACCTTCATCTTTCAGCTTTTTTTTTTCTTTTATGTGTGTGTCTGCTCTGGCCTGTGTTCTCTTTTTTTTTTTTTTCCTATGCGTTTGGATGAAGGACCGAGCTGATGGTTAAACGCTAGAAAATCCATCGTTTAACCTTTGGTTTATAATTTTTTTAACCCTAGCTCACTTTTTTTTAGTTTTTAATTATGTTTATTATATATATATATATATATGCACATATAAGGGAGATAATCAGATCTGCAAGAATTTACAATAACAAGCATTTATCCTATTAGGTGGGGTTGGCTACATGTATTGCAAGATGCCATTGTGCTCTATCATTTACCAAACTTTTAGAAATATTATTAATTAAGAGATCATGTTCAACAACTTTCAAAAGTATTTTCTTAGGCCTTCCTCTACCCCTCTTAACAGGACTCAACGTTATATGTTCTACTCTTTTCACTGGTGCCTTCCATGATCTTCTTTGTATATGCCCAAACCATCTCAAATAATTTTCTACCATTTTTTTCTTAATAGGTGTTACCCTCACTTTTTTGCGTATGTGCTCATTTCAAATTTTATCTTTACGTGTATGTCCGTACATTCATTGTAACGTTCTCATCTCTGCCACTCCAACTTTATGCTCTTGCTGTCCCGTTAGAGTCTAGCATTCACTATTATATAACATAGCCGGTTTGATAGCAGTACAATAAAATTTTCCTTTAAGTTTATTAGGCACCTTACGATCACAAATAACTCATTCAATTTTTCTCTAATTAAACCACCCAGCTTGAATCCTATATGAAATATCTCCACTGATTTCGCCATCATTTTGAATAATGGCTCCTAAATATCTAAACTTTTTCATTTGAGGTATAATTTGATCTCCTAATTTTACTTCCAAATTATTGTCGACTAGTCTCTTACTAACTTTACAATATAAATATTCCGTCTTATTTTTACTCAGACAGAAACCTTTCAACTCCAATGTCGTCCTTTATGATTCAAGTTTACAATTAATCTCTTCTCTTATCTTTGGTATAAGAACTATATCATTTGCAAAGAGCATACATTTGAGAATTTCTCCTTGAATATGTTTCGTCAAAACTTTTAGGATCAAGTTAAATAGATAAAGACTCAAAGATGATTCCTAATGTAGTCCAATCTTTATATAAAAGTCCTTTATTTGACTATTAGACGTTCTTATACTAGTTTTTACCCCCTCATACATATCTTATATAACTTTAATATAAGCAATCCGTATTCCCTTCTTTTCCAAGGCTTTCCAAAGAACTTTTCAGTATACGGTCATAAGCTTTTTCCAAATCAATAAAAATCATGTGTAAATCTTTATCTTTACAATGATACTTTTTCATTAATCCCCTTAGTAGATAAATCACCTCTGTAGTCGATCTACCTGGCATAAAACCAAACTAATTTTCTGAAATACTTGTCTCCAATCTCAACCTATGCTCAATTACTTTCTCCTACAATTTCATTGTGTGGCTCATAAGTTTAATCCCTCTATAGTTAGTATAATTCTGAATATCCCCTTTATTTTTATAAATAGGAATTAATGTACTTCTCCTCTAGTTGTCAGGCATTTTCTTCGACTGTAAAATCACATCTGCAAGAATTTAAAAATACTTAATTTTTAAGAAGTTGATTCTCATAATTTTTTGATTGTTGAAATAATTTGAGAGAGATTTTTCAAGATTTAAGCAAGATACATATTTTTGATTTTGTTAGATTATTTTTTTTGAAAATATAATCCTAAAAAGAACTAAATTTTGTTTTTTTATTTTTATATTTTTTTTGTTATTTTAATGAACTAGAAAAATAAAATCTTAACCAACAAAAGATTATCTAGGTTAAAATAAAATTAAACCCTCTTAATTAAAAATTTTTTATTTTGAAAATATAATCCTAAAAAGGATTAAATATCATTTTTATATTTTTATATTTTTTGGTTGAATTTATTATTATTTTTATTAAATTTAAAAAAATGCTTGGACAAAATACAGTGTTCACAAAGTCCATTCCATAGATCTTTTTATCTATATTCACACAATTTCAAATCCATATGAGCAAATGGTTAGGGATGCTATTAGACCATCATTTAATGGCCATGACATGAATAAGGATCCTAACACAAATTCTGCAAAGTTCTATGACATGCTTCGTGCTTCACAATCTCCGTTATGGGATGGGTTTGAAAATCATATTGTATTGTCAATTGCTGTGAGATTATTGAGCATCAAGTCTGATTATAACATTCCACAAGTTTGTATGGATGAAATTATCATATTGATAAATGAGATCTTGCGAAAAACCCATCATATGCCTTTAAACTTTTATCAAACCAAGAAATTAGTTACCCAACCTGGTTGTGTTTATCAAAAGATTGATTATTATAGTAATAGGTGTATGTTGTACTGTGGCAATGCGATAAATGAGAGAAAGTGCCAATTTTGTAAGATTGCAAGATTTAAGGAGGCAAGAATTGGAAAAGGGAGGTTTAAGGAGATCTCAACAAAACAAATGTGGTACTTACCATTAATTCTAAAACTCTAAAGATTATTTACATCTAAAGCCTCAACCAAATATATGCGATGGCATTATGAAAATCATTGAGATGAAGGTGTCTTGTCCCATCCATCAGATGGGGAAACATGGAAGCATTTTGATCTAACACATCCAAAATTTGCATTAAAGCCAAGAAATGTTCGGTTAGGTCTTTATTCTGATGGCTTTAGTCTATTCAACATGAGTTCTAGGCCATATTCTTGTTGGCCTGTTATTGTTACTCCTTACAACCTTCCACCTGGAATGTGTACGTGATGAGAATATATGTTCTTGACAATCATAATTCCTGGGCCAAGTAATCCAAAAAGTCAAATTGATGTTTACTTACAATCCTTAATTGATAAACTGAAGTTGCTTTGGGAAGAAGGTGTGCTGACGTATGACATATCATTACAATAAAATTTTAACTTACGAGCTACCCTTTTATAGACCATTAATGATTTTCTTGCATATAGTATGTACTAGCAAACAGTAGGAAAACTGGGTTGTCCAATTTGCATGGATCAATTGAAGGAATTTTAATTGAAACATGGGATCAAACCTTGCTATTTTGATTGTCATCGTCAATTCCTTCCCTTAAATCATCCGTTTAGGAAAAAATAAAAAGCGTTTTAGAAAGAACAAAATAGAGAATTCTGAACCACCATCAAGATATTCAAGTGGTGAATTATTTGAGCAAGTTAGGAGATTTGCTAAAATAATAGAATCACCATATTTACATCTCCCAGGATATGGCAAGGAGCATAATTGGACTAAGCGAAGCATTTTTTGGGACCTTCCTTATTGGTGTGACCTTTTAAATTCCCATAACATAGATGTAATGTACATAGAAGGAAATGTATTTCATAATATGTTTAATACTATGATGAATGTGAAAGATAAGATGAAAGATAATGAGAAAGATAAGTTAGATTTTCCTTTATATTGTCAATCCTATTATAGAGCTACATACACTTTTAATATGGAACAAAAGCGAGCAGTGTGTAAGAAAGTAAAAAGTTTATAGCTTCCTGATGGTTATGCATCAAACTTGGGACATTGTATTGACTTGAAAAGTTTCACATTGGTTGGAATGAAGAGTCATGATTGTCATGTTTTTATGGAAAGATTATTACTAATAGTGTGTACTGGGTTGCCACCCTCAATATGTGATCCTATAACAGACTTAAGTCATTTTTTCATGATCTTTGCATGCCTACATTACATATAAATAACCTAAAAGTGCTAAAGGCAAACATTCCCATTATTTTGTGCAAACTTGAGAAGATATTTCATCTAGATTTTTTTTATGTCATGGAGCATTTAATGTTCACTTGAGTTATGAAGCTATAATTGGTAGCCCTGTACAATATAAGTGGATGTATCTATTTGAAAGGTTTTTATACACATTAAAGAGAAAGGTAAAGAATAAGGCTCATGTTGAAGGTTCTATTTGTGAAGCATACATTCTTGAAGAAACTTCTATGTTTTGCTCTTATTATTTTGAGGAACATGTTCAATCAAGAACTAAAAGAGTTCCTCATAATGATTATGGTGGGAAGCGTGATGATTATCCTCCTATCTCCATCTTCAATTATCCTGGCCAACCATATGGAAAAACAACACAAAACACTTGTCAACTTACCCAAAGGAGGAATATGCAATAATCTTATGTGTTACTTCTTAATTGTCCTGAAGTTAAACCTATTCTTAAGTAAGATTTTATATATATCACATTATAATTTCCTATTTGACTCAACATATAATTTTTCTAATGCTAACCTTATTTGTTGTGTTATATAGCATTTATGTCAATGAATTGCTTTCTATAGATCATACTTTATCAAATGAGGTGGATAAGTGTATATCTTCCAAATTTCCTATATGGTTCAAAGATTATGTAATTTTGTGTTAATGACTTTCTATGAGATCATATTTTATAAAAATCATACTAATGTAGATATTTTATTTGAAATAGATTTTCAATCCTTAAAATAATATACAAGATGAGTTATTGATTTCTTTGGCTTGGGGTCCTATGAGGCCAGCAAAAACATTTCATCAATAGTCAGTAAATGGATATAAGTTTCATTCTAATGTATGGGTAAAAGGAAGGAAGACCACTAATAGTGGAGTTATGGTTAAGGGAAGTAATCATGGTCAACTTGAATTTTTTTACTTTGGTGTCTTAGAGGAGATAATACAATTACAGTTCACTAGAAAAGCATTCAAGTTTTTAACAATCTTTAAATGTAAATGGTTTGATCCTAGTTTAAGAGGAACTCGAGTTTCTCCTAAATATAGTACTATTGAGGTAAATGCGAAAAGAACATAAAAGGGGGATGGTCCGTTTATTCTTTCACAACAAGCTCAACAAGTGTATTCTACACCATATCCAAAATTAATTATTGCCAAGAAAAATTGGCTTGTTGTTATTGCAACCAAAGCAAGGAATAGAGTTGATGATATTGATAATGAAAATGAAGATACACCATTTCAAGATGACATCAATTGACAAGTCCAATTAATTGAGTATGAACATGATAAACAAGATTTACAAGATAATATGGGTGAGAGTGAAGAATTTGATAATGCACTATCATATGAGAATGAAGAGGATATTGATGATCATTCACAATCAAGCAATGAAAATTTGAATGAACATATACTGTGTACTGATTCATCTAAGACAGAAGAAGATCCTCCTTCTAATTATTATTTAGCTAGTGATTGATTATAATTGGTAAAGCAATTGTTATTATGTTGTTTATTATGCTTGTCAGTTAGTTTGTTATTATAAAATTTTATTTTATTTAGTTATCTACTTATTTATGTATTTAATTAATTTTAGATGATGTCTTCTCAAAAAGACATAGCGATATCTAAGAAGAAGAAGAAGAAGAAGGCTAAGACAATGAAATCATCACAATCCCAATCACTTGTTCTTTTTTAATACCCCAGATACAGCCATTATTGCCTAATACACATCCATCACTACCTTATACACTACCATCACCTCCTGAGATGCATCCTTTGCCAACCCAATCACCATTAGTCACACAATTGCCACGAACTCAGCCGCAAGTTGCTAGAAATCGATCACCAAGATGTGTGGTTGATTCTTTTAGATTGAGTACAAATATAGCTAAGTGATGGTCGCATGGTGATTCATTCTGAGGGTAATGAGGAGTAAGTATCTTTTATTGGAATTTTTATGTTATCATTTATTACTTGTTATATACTAATACTTGTTCTTTTTGTAGGTTGCTTCCTTTAGTTGAATCAGTGTCAATGTTATCTAGAATAATCCATTCAAAGTATGACAGTGCATGGCCTGTATTTAGTAAAGTCCTAGAAAATGTTAAAATTTATGGTTTAATGAATTCAAAGTGAGCTAATTTACTAATTCTTTACAACTTATTCATACAAATATTTTATTTTGTGCACTTGACATTTTCATAATTTTATATGTAGCTAAGATGTGCTTGCGACCTAACTTTAGATAGTGATGTTCATAAAATATGGAAGAAGAAATTTAGTAGGGTGATCCACTCTTCTTTGAGGGACATTCGAATTGATAATACAAAAGGTGAATGGTTAATGCCTGGAGCTTGAAAGGAGCTTGAAAAATATTGGAAAAGTGATGAATTAAAGCCAAATCTAAGAAAAATAAAAAAATGAAGCAGCTAACACAGGAGGATGAGTGCATAAAGGCGGACGAATAACATTTGCAGAGCATAGAAGAAGAATGGTAAGAATTATTCAAATATGTATCTATTTTTTCATTCTTTAATTATTGAGTTAATCCTATCATTTTTTATAAATCATGTAGGAAGTTGAATTCGAAAGGCCTTGTGAATATCCTGAGGTTTTCAAGAAAATTCAACATGATGAGGAAAAAGGTTGGGTTGGAAAGAGAGCTGCTGACACTTATGTAAGTTATTTATGTCTTTATTCTTTTCTTTTTTTGTTTTTAGGCATACATTTTAACATTATCTTGTTTTAATGCAAAATGAGTTTGAGCAATTGAAAGAATATCAAGAATCCGATGCTAGAATTCTAATTCTGCTTTATGGCTTTAGGTGGTTCGGGGGAAAAATAAGAGGTGTCAAGTTTATGGGCTTGGATCACAGGCAGGGCTTCTTAATTCTAATGGAACTCAATGTGCCAATACATCTAGTGAGATTACACTCTTAAAGAAACAATTAGAAGAACAAAAAAAATTTATTAGTACAGATTTGAAAAGGTTGTTGAATCTTTACAAGTAAGGGAGGAAGAATTTCATGCTAGGGAAGAAAGAATGGGTCGAAAATGGGCAATGATTATGGCACGGATAAGCAAATTTGAAAAAGGTGGTCCTTCCAAAACCAATGATGAGGAAGGTTGTGGTGATTTGGAGAATGACTCACAAGAAGATGGTTCTAATGATGAAGAAGATGATGAGGATGATGAGTTCAATGAAAATGAATTTATGTGATTTCATGTTTTATGTGTTATGACTTTTAAAATGACTTCTATTACATAGTATTATGAACTTTGTTATAAACATTATGATATAATGCAATTTTCTGATGGTTCAATTGTGACATATGTGCTTATATATCATCTTTTTCTAGTTGTTGTCCGTTATTTGAGAAATATTTTAATAGGTTTATAATATAATTTTTAAATAATCAAATAAATAATGATAATAATATAGAGTTCTCACAAAATTTTTTGTAATAAAACTCTATGAGAATAATTTTCTCACAAAAATTAATTCATCAAATTAGTGAGAAAAACAATTAAACAAATTGTTATTAGTGAGAAAAACAATTAAACAAATTGTTAGCATTTCTCACGGTGTATTGTTATGAGAGAAGTTCTCATAGATGTTATATATAAGAATTTGTTTTACATTTCTCTCAGCATTATTTTAAAAGAAATTCTCTTAGCTTTATGATGCATGAGAATTTCTCATAGAATATTATCATAAGAAATTCTCACAACATCCTCATATGAGAGAATTTCTTACACCAATAATATGTGAGAAGTTGTCACAAATTTATATTAAAGGAAATACTCTCATAAAGTTTCCGCAAGAACTTCTCATGGATTTCTTCTTAGTAAGAACTTCTTATGTATAAGGGTATGAGAAATGGTTCTTCACAGTTCCATTTGTGTGAAATGTTTTTCCTTCGATAGGTTTAGTGACAAACCTTTTGGCATGAGAAATGCTATGAGAAAATTATTTCTCATAAAAATTTAAGTGATTTCTTACAGATTTATGCTGCAAGAAAAACGTTGTTTTGTTGTTGTGAAATGAGTAAATTGAAAAGGGTGTGAAAATTTGGTGTAAGAGGTGTTGAGGCTAATAGAAGTGATATAGAGGCTAGAGAGAGTGGTTAAGACTTAGGATGGTTAAGTGAAAGGAAATTAATGGTTAGTTATGAATAACGGTGATAATTAGTACTTTGTGATCAATTTAGAAATTGACTAATAGAGTTAAAATGTGTAGGTTGACATACTATGTGCTGAACCTGAGGTAGTGAAAGCGAGTTGTGACGTTAAGTACTAAAGAGAATACCACAAGTAACTTTTTTAGTGCTAGAAGGGTTAAGGTAATCGAATGATTCACTTTGCTTGATTAATTTGCTTAACTATTTATAAGTAATTATGTAATACAACATATGTATTTTTGAATTGTTGCATGTTTGTGAAAATGGCATATTGTGAATTAAGATATTTTCAATTATATGTGTGTTAGTACAAAAATGACTTTTAAAGAATGGGAGTTGTACAAATATAAGTATATAAATGTATATGTGCCTTAAATTTCAAACATGTGATTTGTATTTGACAAATGTGAGCATGATCATGTTAGAGATGAGAGTTCACACGCAAGGAGGAGTAGTAAAAGACTATATGGAGTATATTTTTCTAAAAACTCGACAAGGTACGGTGTTAGAGAATTTCTCTCTTGTGTGCCTATATCAGTACAGTGTTGGAGATTCTCTCCTAAGTGCCCATACGAGTATGGTGTTAGAGATTTACGCTCTAGAGCATATGTTTGGTGTAGTGTTGGAGTAACAAGACCTTGATTGTGTGTGATAGGAGGAATCATAGTTCAGAAATTAGACTGATAAATAACAAATTTGTATATTTTTATTCTTTTAATTTAGACTTTTAAATATTTAAGGCTAATTGAGTTTAATTGGATTTTATTTGATTTTATTAGCCAATCTTTAATTTTGGGACTTTAACTAACTAAATCTTGAATTTTAAAATATGAATGATATCTTTAATATTTTTGCACAGTTGCTATAGCGCGGGAGAAAATTTAGTTGCTTAAACTATAGTGCATTATGGCACTAATTTGGTGGCAACTTTCTCACCATTGTTAATCATGAGAAAACTAAAAGAATATGTCACAATATAATAAAAACAACTTCTCACGAACAATATATGTAAAGAAATTCTTATGGATTTTGTGCCCATGAGAAATATCTATAGATGATAGAGTTCCTATGCTTTTTCTCCATGATAAATTCTCACAAAATTTGTGCCTATAAGTAATTCTCATGGATTTTACACCATGAGAAATTACCTTCAAATAGTTTATGTGAGAAATTCTTTTGAGCAAATGTTTCTCACAGTTAGCTTAACGATGAGAACTTCTTTCGACCCATTGTCCATGAGAAAATTTTTCAAGTTATTCCTTTCAAGTATTTTCACAGATAATATATCAAGAGAACTTATTTCAAATTTTTACCTGTGAGAAATTATTATCTTGAATATTTCTCAAAGTTTATTAGTGGTGAGAAATTCTCATTGATAATCATTGTGAGAAATTTATTTAAGCATGTTTTTTTCAATAATTTTGTTAAATAATATGAATTAACTATAGTTTTATGACAAAAGGATTTAAGTGTATATTTTTTTATTTTATATGAAATTTGTGACTAGCTAATTAAAAAATATTCAAATAATATTGATTTTGTCCAAAATCAAACCTCTTTTTATCTACATTTTTAAGCATAGAAATATTTTATTTTTATTACAAATAAAATAAATAAATAATTGATATAATAAAATAAAGTAAATATAAATTTTTCTCACAATTTATATGTCAAGAGAATCTATCTCAAATTCCTACCTAGTAATTTCTCACTGTATTATTAAGTGTGAGAAATTCTCATTGATAATGGATGTGAGAAAGTTATTTAAGTGCATTTTTTTTTTACAAAGTACAAAAATATTGAGAAACTTTTTCTTCAGAAACTTCTAGTATCCTTAAGAAAACCATAATGTTTGGGTACTCATTAGCTTTGTAAAAAAAAAATCATATAGCCAAATTTAGTCCTAACAACTTGTGCTTTTGGGTTGAACCAAATAACCAAATTGTTAAATATTATTTTATTTTATTTTTATTTTTTAGTCAATTTCAACTTTTTTAAAAAATTAATATTTGAATTTTAGTTTATTAATAATAAATTTTTTTGGCTATTTATGCTTGGCCCTGATTTTTTTGGCTTATTGTTTTGAGATAGGCAATGATTAGATGCTATCTAAATTAATCACATATCATACCCTATAATTATTTTGTCTTGTGAGCTATTGATATTCATTAAAATAATTTTTTTAAAAAATGATTATTATTAACAAAATTTATATGATTAAAATTAATTTTTTATTAAAATAATTTTTAAGATAATTGAAAAATTGTGGATAAAATTTATTTTTAAGAAAGGAAGGAAAACATTTAATTATTTTGGAAGAAGATAAAACTTTAATAATTCATTTATTGGAGTTTGAGAAATATATGGGGAAATAAAAATAAACTATATATAACATAGACTTTGTTTGGGTCACTAACATAAACTAATATAATACATATTATAAATAAATTATATATTTAATTATTTTAATTTAAAAAATAAAAATAAAAATTATAAATTGGTTAAATATTTATAAGAAATTATTTAATATTTAAAATTTGTTTCTTTTAAGTTCATTTTCGTAACAGAAATAATATTTAATAAAAAATAATATTTTATTAAAAATATAATATAAATAGTAATATAAATTATTTTATGATATTATTAATTAAAAATAAAATAAAATATATGCATTGAGTAGTATATTATTTAATATATGTGTATGAAGTTAATATGTATTTAATTTTGTATATGATGATTGCAAGCATGTTTTAGTTCAACTGGCGAAAAAGGAAGGCACAAGACTTGGAAGGTGAAAGGTCAAGGGTTTAAGTCCTGACATTGGCATATTTTGCTACAAATAAATAGTATGGCATGAAGAGGTGATGTGGCATGAGGTGCCAAGTGACATATGGTATATGAGGAGGTGACGTGGTAGATGACATAGTATAACTGACCCACACATGGTGAGTGACATGGTGCTAGGTGGCAGGTGACGTGGCATGAGCTAGATGCACATGTGGTGCCTGATGTAGTGTGAGGTGTTATGTGAAATGAGATTAATTGATGTATACGTTGCAACTGACATGATGTAAGGTGGTAGGTAAAATGGCATTAGTTTAGCGTTTCTCACAATACATTATTATGAGAGACTAACGAATTTCTCTAAAAAATATTTCAAAAGAAATTCTCTCAGATTTGTTGTATGTGAGAATTTCTCACAGAAAATGATTATAGGAAATTCTCACAGCATAGCAATATGAGAGAAATTCTCATGCCATTTATGTGTGAGAAATTGTCTCATATTTATATTGAAAGAATTTCTTTCAAAACCATTCCTTAAGAATGTCTCGCGGTTTCAAAGGCCATAAGAACTTCCTACAAATAATGGCGTGAGAAATGGTTCTCACAGTTTTGTTCATGTGAAATATTTTCTTTCCTTCGACTATTTTAGTGACGGACCTTTAGGCATGAGAAATTATGTGAGAAATAATGTTCTCATGGAATTTTGGGTATTTTCTCATAGAAATATGCAGTAAGAAAATCACTATTTTGGTGTAGTGTTCTGACTCTCTAATTCAAGCAATGTTCAATTATGATCTAAGCTTGAATGAAATCCTCTACATCCTATATGCATAAGAATATAGTCAATCACGCATGGGACACTTACAATTCAAGCGTGAATGATGCATTGTGAAGCAAAGGTGCATTCATATGCGTGATAATCAAGGGTAGACATTCTTATGTCCAAGCCTGAATCAAATAAATTAACATTAAGCACTCGTAAGCCTATGACTTTTCACATGCTGCATTCTTACTTTAATTCATGTATATAGCTCTCAATTTGTTTTTCATAAGATTTATCTAGAAAAATAAAGCTGTTGCAATCTAAAATTCTTCATACTTACTCTTGATTCTTCATTCTCTTTAGCATGCATGTGATACTTCTTCATTTTCCTTTTTCTTCATCCTTCCTTGTCTTTTAGTACAACATATGATGATTTTACTTAAATTTTCCTTTCTTGATGGTTTGTTGCTTGAATCTTGATATTCATTTTACACAAGTAATACACACCTTTCTCTTTGTTTTGTTATCATCAAAACACTTAGTTCAATAGATTAAACACTCCAATAATCTCTCTTTTAGCCTAAATTTAGGCACTCCTAATATATTTCATTATTCCTATTTAACATTCATAAGCTTAGATAACATTAAATTTTTACCCACATTTTCCCAATACTCAAATTTAAGTCTAGAGTTCATCTAAACCATAACTTTAAATTCTAAATCACTATAAGATCATCAAACCTAGTTTTAGAAGCTTAATTTAACTCTCTATGGACCCAAAGAACATAATGGATTCGGTTCTAACATAAGAGAGGACTAAAAAAAAAACCCAATCCTACCCAGACTTACTACAAATTCATATAAAGAGGAAGGAGAATCAATAGGAGGCTTACCCCAAGGTGTTAGCTTAAAATGCCTCCAAAAAGTTGAAAAGATGAAGCCTTAGCAAAGAAAAGGTTCTCTTCTATCACCCTCCTCATTCTCAATTCTTTCTTCCTTTGTTTCTAATGTATGCGAGCATTTGATTAAATCAAATTTTTACACATCCATCATAGTGCATGGTGCGTTTACTGTGATACATGGCATAGTAAGGCCAAAATGAATTTTGGGCCTTACTTGATGCTTGGTCTACTTGAAAACTAAATTAGTCCACTTCTAAAGCTGTCTAAATGCCCATCAACCTTATTAGAGGTCTAAAACACTATTAATTCAATAATCACTCAAGATTTACTAATTCCCCCTCATTTACACCTTTAAAATCTAAATTTTAAAATTTGAGGATGTTACAATGGCCACTCTTTATCACCAGATTATTTACAGACTATTGGATCATTCACTTGATTTTTACTTCCCTAACTTGACAAGGGATGCTTTGTTTATGAATGCTGAAAGTCCTAGTGAAGCTTCGATAGTTCATATCCTAAGACATCTAATTCAAGAATAACTTACTCATTGATGCCATTATAATGGATTAACAAGTACAAAAAAGAATTCCATGTTGATAAAAATGATGTTGATACAACAGAATCCCCTATTCTTTATAAACTGGGAGATGACACGATCAAGTTAGTTTTCAAGAGACCTAGATCTCAAGATCTAGCTTAAACCTCAAGCAAAATCTTGATAATTGCACCCGCATATATTCAACATAAAAAGAACCCTCTTGTTGAGTGGTTCACACAAGAAGCTAAGCCAGTCTATGTTTCCTATATTAATGGTCACTTTATTTAGCATTATGCCTTAATAATGTGTGATCCAAGTTGTGATTGTTACTTTTAAAATAACTCTTATAGTGATGATGACTAATGTAGAACTCAAAGGATTTCTAATAAACCTAAGAAGCTTAGATTCCTTTGTAGACACAAGTGTCCTTCTTAGGATGATAATAATGATGACCATGGCCTAAAGCAAACCAAAAGAAGATAGGTAGGAATTCTAAATCTTCCTGCTAAAAGAAGCACTCTTTTTAAGCTTCTTAAGGAACTTGGATATGAAGATCTTCTGTTGGAGAAACTTGGACTAGTGATTCCACCTTTCTTGCTTATGAGGAAGATTTTCTTCCTTTAGAACACATGATTGATAAAAGAACTAAAGTTACCAATAAACCTTTTGTACCAGCAACTGAAGTATCCCTTCAAAGGACTATTAAGCCTATTTCATCTATAGAAGTTCTTAACTAGCTATTTAAAAATGCTGTCAGTCAAAATAGAGTCGTACACAATAATGATTCTAAGCTCGACCATCTTGCAAGCAAAATAGATGCTTTGTTCTTACAGGTGAATCGGATGGATGAGCATGTAAAAAGCTTGTATACAAGACTTTGTAAAAAAGAGCAACAACTGGATGCAGATCTCAGGAGATATATTGTTGAAAAATATTTTTGTTCTAATTCCATAAGAAAAGAAAGAAAATTTCTAAGATACAAAAATAATTACAACAAATAGAAACAGATCTAGCTAAAGACCAATCCAGAACCATTTTATGTCATATACCTCTATGCACCCTACCTATCCCACTAGTAAGATCTTTAAGATGTGTTACCCTATTCTCAGACAAGCCTAGAAAAATCCAGTTTGAAAACCATCTCCTCTATATTTAGAACAACTACCACAACTACCACATATCTAGAAACCCGTTTATCATAAGTCTCAAGAATATCAAACCTCACCATCCTTCACCAAACCACTAAAAAAACCTTTGATAATCTCAACACCTCCTTCTTCACCCCATAAATAAAAACCACCCCCTTACATTAAAAAAGCCAAAGGCATAGTAGGTCTAAATCCCTTAAGAACCATTGCTTCTATTAGAAAAGCTATTTTTGAACAGGCCTATATAGATTTAGTTGTTTCAACTAAATTGTCATATGAAAACACAAATTCTGAGGATGACCAGCATTTAGTTGATATAACCAAGATTGTTATGGTTCAGCCTTATCCAAAACCAATTATGGAAGACCTTAAAGATGATTTAGAGTCTAAGACAATCTAACTAGACTAAATACTCATAACTCCATACCATCCTCTAGACTATGGTTTACCTTTGATGACCTACCTCTACATAAATGGAGGGAAAGACTTCATGAGTTTGGTGTGTGGATTGACTTATAAATGACAAGGCCAAATGTGACTATAAGAGAAGTACCTCTAGAATTTCTCTTGGGAATGACTGGAAACTTGAGAGAATGGTTTCAAAATATCAAAGAGTATCAAAAGATCTAAGTACCATAACTTCCTAATGTAGCATTGTTCTTTAGAGATTTCAATCTTATTGACAAAAAGAATAGACAAGAGTTATTTAAAATGAAGTGTTTCTTATTAGATAAAAAACTATTTATAGAAGAATTTTTAGTAAATATCTATTAAGCATGGAGCTATTAATGGCTTATAGAGAGATAAGTCCCAAATCTCTCTTGAAGAAATTTATCAGCTAGCCCTTTCTACTCTAGATAAACTTTGTGAACAACAAAATTTTTTCAAGCCTATGCTTAAGGGAAATTCAAAGCTTCAATCATCCTGTAAGAAGCCTTATGTAAATATTTAATGCAAGGACCATAAATGTTATTCTTGCAAGAAGAAGAATCATGTTCATGCAAGTGTAAACCCCTTAATAGAAAAAAAAGAGAGAGCTTTTCTGCATTACTTTATAAAAAGGACTTCAAAGTTGAAAAGGTTAGACAAGTGCTTTATTTGTGGGCAAAATAGGCATTTTGTAAAAAGGTGTCCAAATAAATACAAGAAAGACATGAAGGTACTTCAGTCCTTTAAAATTATTATTCCTCTTAATGACGATCAAGATATTAAATCTGTCTTTAAAAAATAATTTGAAAGAAATGAAGACACTCAGTATGTTTTGCATGTATTAGAAGAAAACTCTAACTTTGTTATGAGCAATATCCACCACTCTATATTATTGGTTCCCTCTTTGAACTAATGACCCCTCACAATCCATGTTCCTTTAGACTAATAAATTCTTGTAGCTAGCCTTATTCAAATAAACCTCCTCAACCCAATATAAAAGTTTAAATTCTTCATAGCAAATATGACCCTATCTCAACCATTGCTTTCATTGACATTAGTTCCTATAGAAATGTCATAAGACCTTATATACTTTATGAAGAAGAATGGCTCCTGTATGAATAGTATTTTGCTACAGCTTATAGAAAACCCTTCAAGATAGATCTTATTACCAAAAGAAAGATTGCTATAAGGTTTTTCCCTAGATGTGTTGTTTGAAAAAAGCTCCTTAGGAATGATTTACCTACTAAAGATATTCTTATTAGTTTTGATATTTATCGACAAACAAGGAACTTACAAGTCCTTCTTAATGGAATGAGGTTTAAACAGTTCTTTAGCAAGTATACTAATATCTCAAGTATTTTGAAATTCAACAAGCTCCTTTAGGCTATGAACAAATTTAGGATCAACTCCTCTAATTCTGCTATGAAAGTCATGATCAATTTTAACATCCATTTCCTTTATAGAAGAATCAAGAGTTTTTCTTCAAACTACTATTTAAAAGGAATAAAGATATCAATACCATAAAAGCATCTCATACTAGAATGAATCCAGAAGACCTTGCTCTTGCATAACAAGAATGTGCAGCTTTGCTTAAATAAGGGCTTATTAAGCCAACCAAGTCAGACTAGGCTTGTCAAGCATTTTATGTTGAGAAAAGATTAGAAAAACAATGAGGAAAAAAGAGGCTAATGATTAGTTATAAGCCTTTTAATGCTTTCTTGTAGGATGACAAATTTCCTCTTCTAAAGATCTAAAGAGGTCCGAGACATTCTTTAAGTTTGATCTCAAAGCAGGATTTTAGCAATTAGGAATTGATTTGGAAAATCATTATAAGACAGCCTTCTGCATTCCTAATGCTCAATACCATTGGACAATCATGCCTAAAGGCTTAAAACTACCTATCATTATTTCAAAAGGTCATGATCTATATCTTTGAGCCCATTATCAATAGTACCATAGTTTATATTGTTGACATACTCTTGTTCTCAGACATTAAGCAGGAACATAAAGACCTGTTGACCTAATTCTTTAAAATAATTCAACAATATGGGATTACGCTCTCATCCTAAAAAAGTCACATTGATACAACGCATACAGAATTTATAGGAAAGATTACCCAAGATAGATATTACCAACCCAGTCCATACACTATTCAAGAATGATTGAACTTTCCATA